TTTGGATATTAAATTTTTCTCTAGAAATCTTTTAGCGTTTTTGGGCTAACCTATTTTGAGAGAGAGGGTGGCCGAGACATTTTAGGAGAGAGGCACTCTTTTCTTTTCTTTTCTTTTCTTTTCTTTCACCTTTCTCTCCCTTCTCTATTTATAGAGGCAGCAAAAACTCCTTTTAATAAAGGATTTGTTGCTTATTTAGACTTTGTCTAACCTTATCCTTATAAGCTGTAAGCCTTATCTAGTAGTGCTCAAGATTATACATCTACCAAAAATATCTTGTAGGCTTTTAATTAACCTATTGGCCCAAACTTCTTTATCCAAATTAATTATCAATTAATTTGGATCATATAAATAAATTAGGGTAGATATTTTTAGGTAGGCTAACATTAGGAAATAATTTTTCAAATTACACTTTAACCTAAATTAGGAAACTGATTTCCTTTTTAGGTAATCGACTTCTAAATTTAGAAATTAATTTCTAAAATAGGAAACTGATTTTTCTATTTTAAAAAAATAATTTTCTCAAAATAGGAAACTTTCTAACACGGAAATTTCTTCCAAAACCTCTGCCTCTCTTTTATCATGTGAATATTTAAACTTATGCGTGTAACTCAATAGGCTCCAAGATATATTGGCAATGTATCGAGAAGATAAAAGAAACCTATTTTATCCTTTGATACATAAATCAAGATTGGCCCCTAGTAAGACATCATGACTACTCAATTCTTTAAAAAGATTAATTAATCCCTAATTACCTTTCATCACTATGGTTTCTATACAATTCGAGTCCTCACATTATTTTATCATAGTGTGATCTCAAACTTGGTTTATTTTTTATTCGATTATGATCTCTAAATGTCTTAGCTCACAAGTAAACTAATTATGCTTTATTGGTATACTTCCACTATGGTCACGAGATTCTTTGAACGGACATTCATCAAAGTACAATGTGATAACTCCTTTAACATATAAGAAATGGCATGTCCTATATCGATCAACCACCTATCTCCATTAGATTCCTAATGCACCCAACGAATCGTCTACATGTAGCTCTTTATAGAGCCTATCAAAATGAGTGTCAAAATACACTAATCCTCTAATGAGATAATCGTGATAACTTCAAGTCAAATGACTATTTATACCCATCTCTTATGAGATTCCCATAGATAATACCAAATGGGTTCTCATGGCAAGTCACATTTAGTGATATATTCTCTAACATTACTTACCTAAGTGCTTGCTTTGGTATCACCATGCCAATAGAAGTGAGATTTCCTACTTGTTATCTTATAGCGGGAGTATAGCACTCACAAGTCTTATTGCATGTTGTCAATGTTGAATCTTAACAATGCTACAACTTGAGATATTTAATAATATCATTTAAATACATTGATTTTTTTCTCATATCTATTAATCAATTATTAATGTAATGCATACCATATAGACTTCTATCTAATTCTATCAAATTATAAATAATAAGAATTAATAGAAAGAGTTTTTAATTAATATTTAAATACAATAATACAATACATCAAATCATCTAAGCAAGTTGAATCTAGACTAACCCTTTACTCCAAAACCTTACAAATTTATTTTTATACACATTTTCATGCTCTTAATCATGACCCTCTATTTCTCTTTCCTTTTTTAGCCATGTGATTCTTTTCGGTATAAGTGACAACTTGCTCCCTTCTTATTGGTTTTCTTACCTTATTGTCTTTCTTTTTTGTTCTAGTTGCAACACATCTTGTGGCCCAAGTAGAGGAAAGGGATAGGTAAGTCTGGTTAGGACCAAATCGAGGGAAAGAACCAAGAGGAACCAAAACCATTTTTGGTTTTGAAACAAAAAAGACAGTGAAAATACTTTCACCATCTCTAAATATTAGTTTTGGTAATTTATCGAATAATCTTGGAACTTTTAAAATTTCTTACAATTGCATTCTCTAATTTCATTCAATTATCCCCTTAATTCCTTATCCTATGCAATTTTTTTTAGATTTTTTGTATTCTTATATTTTTGTATTTTATTCTTTTTTCTTTTTTTTTTTGGAGTAAAAAAAATAAATATATATAAAAATAACATAAAATAAAGTAAACATAATAAAAATAAAATGAAAATAAGATAAAATAATAATTCTAAGGAGGGAAATTTGGGTTATAACAAGATGAGGCGGTAAGATTAGGACTTTGTACACAATTGCTATAAGAAGGGATACAACAACGACGAGTTAATTTTCATAGTGCTGGCGATTCGATACGACGGCATTGAAGGCTCGATATATGAGTGAAAAGGGTTTGAAACAGTTAGCATCAATAAAAAAATACCGGAATTGAAACATATTGATGTTGGCTTATATGAGGCTTGCATCTATGGAGAGCAAAAGAGAGTCCGCTTTTTAAAGTTTGATAAATCCATAAAAGAAACGAAACTAGAATTGGTGCATACGGATGTATAAGGACTAGCCCCTATGACTTCTTTTGAAGGCTTACGCTATCATGTCAATTTCATTGACAAATCCACTAGAAAGATATGGGTTGTTTTATTTGAAAAATAAATATGATGTGTTTTTTGTATTCAAAAGATGGAAGGTCGAAGTTAAAAATTAGACTAATGCGAAAATCAAAGCCTTGAAGTCGGATAATAGAAGAGTGTATACTAGCATAAAATTCAAAGATTAATGTTCGAGACAATAGAATTAGAATGATTAAGACAATTCCTATGACACCGAGTAAAATGGTGTTGCTAAAAGTATGAATAGAACTTTGAATGAGCGGGCAAGAACTATGAGATTGCATTTTGGTTTGCCTAAAGCATTCTAGATTAATGTACTTGAATACAATAATTTACCTCATAAATAGAAGAATTTCGGTTCCATTGGACTTCCAATTACCAAAGGAACTATCGTTAGGAAAGGAGGTAAATTTCTCACACTTGAGAACTATTGGTTGTGTTTCATATGTACATATAAGATCTAATGATAGAGATAAGCTTGATTTTAAGGCTAAAAGGTGTTACTTCATTGGTTATGGTTCGATGATTTTGGTTATCCTTTTTAGAATGATTAGAATAGAAAGATCATAAGGCATAGGGATGTGACCTTTAATAAAAATATATTGTATAAGGACGAGGCTTACGACGGATTCTAATAGTATAGTGAACCGATCGAAATAGGTGAGAAAGTTGATTTGGAAGAGATTTTCAAGGATGATATATCTAAGATTCAGAATTAAGATGATAGAGATGAAGAAACTGAATCGAAACTAGAACTAGTAACTCTTACTCTTCAACTAAGAAGATTTGATAGAGAGTCTAGAGCCACTCAAAGGTATTCACCTTCTTCGAACTATTTGCTTTTTACTAATGCTAAAGAACTAAAATTTTTTAGTAAAGCAATATAGGTGAAAGATTTAGTTAAGTATGAGTTATTCATGGAAGAAGAGATGAGATCTCTTGAGAAGAATTAGACATAAACTTTAACTATATTACCAAAAGGGAAAAGTGCTATACACAATAAATGGGTGTACGGGGTCAAAGAAGAGCATGATGATAGTAAAAGATACAAGATAAGGCTTTTTGTAAAGGGCTTTCAACATAAAGAAGGAATTAACTATATCAAGATTTTCTCTTATGTAGTCAAGATGATTACTATTAAGTTAGTGCTAAGTATTATTACTATAGAAAATTTATATCTAGAGTAGTTAGATGTTAAAAGCTGCTTTCTTACATGGTGACCTTAAAGAAGACATCTATATATTACAATAAAAGGCTTTGAAGTTTTATAGAAGGAAAAAATTATATGCAAGTTGTAAAAAAATATGTATGGTTTGAAACAAGCTCCTAAATAATGGTACAAGAAGTATGATAGGTTCATGTATGGTAATAGTTTCGAGAGATGCAAGATGAATCACGCAGTTATATTAAGAAGTTTGATGATTATTATCTTATTTTTCTTTTATATATTGATGACATGGTTAAAAAAGATCAAAATAAGCTCAAACAATAGTTAGAAGAATAGTTTGAGATGAAGGACTTTGACACTGGATATTTGATATGAGAATCGATAGAGATAGGCCAAAAGGTACATTGACTTTATTTTAAGAAAAGCACATTACGAAAGTACGAGCAGATTCAACCTTCAAGATGGGAAGATTAGAAGCACTCATTTGAAAAGATCGAAGCACTCCTTTGGGAAGCCACCTCGAGGCTTTAAAAGAAGCAATCACTAAAGATAAGCGAAGAGCAAAAAGAAGTGTCTAGAGTCTCTTATAAATCAGCGGGTAGAAGCTTAATGTATGCTATGATTTGTACAAGATCCGATACAACTAATGTATTAGGAGTTGTGAGTAGGTATATGAAAAATCTAAAAAAGAAGCTTTGGGAAAAAGTAAAGTAGATTCTTCGTTATCCGAAAGGTACTTCAAGTATGGCTCTTTGTTTTAAGAAGAATAATATTATTCTATAAGGATTTATTGATATAGATTTAGATGACGATCTAAATAATAGAAAGAGTACAACGAGTTATATTTTTACTTTGGGTGGTACTTGTAGTGAATTGGGTATCTCATCTTTAGAAGTGTGTTGCTCTTTCCACCACTAAAGTTGAGTATATGGTTATTTTAGAAGTTGATAAAGAAATAGTTTAGTTGAAAAACTTTCGAAAAAAGTGGGTAAGACACATAATGACAATGAGCTTTTTAGTCACAATCGAATGTAATTCATCTTGTCAAGAATCTAGTCTTCCATGCAAAAACAAAACATATGTTTGAAAAAGATTCTAAGATTGGAGAATATAGCTAATATGTTGACTAAGATAGTTACCATTGATAAGATGGCTTTGTATTATCTTAGTTAGCCTTTATGATTAGTGATGAGAAGGCACTACACTAGGAGGACGATAAGAACTTAGAAATTTCGAACGAATAACAAAGAAAAGTAATGGAACGAGTGAAAATGAGGGATGGTGAGAGGACTTTTTATTGAAGATGGCGAGATAACAAAATCAACGGTATTCGAGTGATTGCCACACTCCACGACCCAATGGCCTTCCACGACTCGAATGTTCTCCAATCAATCCCCTTACCCTCTCACTAATCCCTATATAAGAACAAGAAAAATAAGAAAATGCCAAAGGCATAACGGACGCATGATGGACATAAGAGAAACAAAATTATAACGGAATTGACCACGTCGGCATATTCTAGAACTCGACGAATTAACCAACCAACGAGCACAATATTCTCCTTTCTCATACTTCAAAGCCCAACGAGAGAACTTTGTAGCCCGGTGCTTTAATTTGTTATTTCCCTTGCTGCTTTCTTCTTCCTTCGTTATAGACCCACCGATCCGGGCCTTATCATTACCCCTTCCTTGAACAACTCGCCTTGTCCTCGAGGCGGAAATCTAGAAACTATGCAATTAGCAAAGCCTTCGGTTCCCGGGTGGCCTCGAATGAGGGCAAGTTCTTCTATCGAATCAAAAATTCTCGGCTAGTAGGACTCTCCACGGTATCCAATACCACTTTCGGCTCGATGATCCACTCTGCCTTGTCATTAATCTCAACTTGGAATAGGTTGAAAAGTAGATACGTCCCTATGCACTTTCTTAAGTTGGGAGGCATGGAAAATGGGATGCCTTGTTGAGTTTGGGGGAAGTTTGAGCTTGTAAGCAACCTTCTCGATACGTTCCACCACCTCAAAAGGACTAAAATATCGAGGAGCTAGTTTGTCATTGAGCCTCTTTGCTACCGACTTCGTCGATAAGGTTGCGGCTTCAAGAAAACCATTTCCCCCACAAAAATTCAACTTCGTGACGGTGTTGGTCGGTAACTCGTTCCATCATGTTACGAGCCTTACATAGTCTGTTCCTTCGACTCATGCAACATCATATCCTTTTTTTGAAGCATAACCTCCAAGTCAAAATTAGTTGTGGAAAAAGATTGATCATACCGTATGATTGGGGGTGGATCTTTCCCATACATAATCTTGTAAGGGCGACACTACGAGGAAGTATGAAATGACGTGTTGTACCATAATTACGCCTACGAAATCCATTTTGACCATTCCTTAGGCTGCTGGTCGGCAAAGCAACGCAAGTATGTCTCAACACACCGGTTCACGACTTCACTTTGTCCATCGGTTTGGGGGTGGTAGGAAGTGCTGCGCTTCGATAACGTTCTGCTGCAACCAAAATAGCTCACACCGAAATTGCTCATAAATATCTTATCCCGATCCGACACAATTGATCGTGAAAAACCATGTAATTTGACCACATAAGTAATGAATTCTTCCGCCACTCGACGGTCCGTGAAGGGATGTTTCAATAGGATGAAATGACCATACTTACTCGGCATGTCCACCACAACTAAAAGAGTATCAAATCCATGAGACTTAGGTAGCCCTTCAACAAAGTCCATAGTCAAATCCTCCCAAGTGTGTTGCGGTATAGGAAGTGGTTGTAACGGACTAGCGGGAGATAAAATATCATACTTTTCTTGTTGGCAAACCCGGCAAGATTGCACGAAGCTCTTTATATCTACCTTCATCCCCTCCTAAAAGAATTCTCCAGATCACCTTCTCATAAGTTTTCAAGAAACCTCCATGGCCGCCGAGTGTGCTTGCATGAAATTCTCGCAACATAGTGGAAATCAAATTTATGGTGCGCGGCAATGTCTGTCCTCCCTTTATATTTTAGAACCCCACGATCCAAAGTCCATCCCGGCTTTGCGACGCCATCCTCCTTTAGTTGAGTACTTATTGCACTGCGACCTCTTATCATTTTGGACTGCTTCGCTATTTCTTTTCAATCTAAAATTACGGGAACGAAATGGCTCGAAGTTCCTCCCCCACTGGTAGCCTTGATAATGCATCCACTCGCTTTATTCTCTACCCCTAGTTTGTACTTGAATTTCAAAGTCAAACTCGAAGAGCTTGATCAACCATTTCGATAATCCGGTACCACCCGATGCTGTTCCAATAAAAACTTCAAACTCCTTCGATCCGTTCTAACAATAAAATGCCACCCAAGGAGATAATGGCATCATTTCGCATGGCCAACACTATCCCCATCAATTCCCGTTCATAGACCGAGCGATGACATGCCGGAGGCTTAATGGCCTAGCCGAAGAAAGCGACGGGCCTTCCATTTTGAGACATAACCGCCCCAAATCCATAACCCGAGGCATCCGTTTCCAGCATAAAGGGAATGGAAAAATCAAGAAGTGCTAAAATAGGGACACTCCTCATAGTTGTCTTCAATTTGTTCACTACCACGGTAGCTTCCTCGATCCACTAGAAGCAATCTTTGTGCAACAGACTAAGTAAGGGGTGCTGCAATCTTGCCTTAGTCCTTCACGAATCAATGGTAGTAACCGAGTGATCCCTAAGAACCCCACAACTCCTTCGGGGATTTAGGAATAGGCCACTCTTCAATCACTCTCAATTTATCTAGATCCGCCTCTACCCCTGCAGCAGAAATCAAGTGCCCAAGGTATTCTAGTTTGGACTATCCAAAACGAGCATTTCTTATAGTTTATAAAAAGTCTGGTTCTCACGAGAGAATGTTTAGTACCGCATGGAGATGTGATAAATGCTCGGACATCGTAGCGCTATAAATGAGTATATTATCAAAGAAAACCGAGTACATACCTCCTTATGACTCCTTTAAAGATGGCATTCATCAACTCCTGGAATGTTGCGGAGCATTCGTGAGTCCGAAAGGCATGACCATGAACTCATAGTGACCCTCATGCATTCTAAATATGGTTTTGTGGTTATCGGAAGGCCGAACTCGGATCCGATGATAACCCGATTTTAAATCGAGCTTGGAAAACACGATGGCCTCATGTAACTCATCCAACGACTCGTCGATGTTCGGGATTGGAAACCTATCCGGAATGATGGCCTTGTTAAGGGCTCGATAATCCACACGAATCTCCAACTTTCGTCTTTCTTCTTCACGAGGAGGATCGGACTAGAAAAAGGATTGTTCGTTGGGCTGAATTATTCCCGCAAGTAACATCTCCGAAACAAGTTTCTTACTTTCTTCTTTTTGGACGTGAGGATACCCGTAGGGCCTAACTCGGATTTGCTCGGTACCTCGCTTCAAAGGGATTGAGTGATCAAAGGATCTCTCCGAGAGGTAGACCAGTGGGTGATAAAAAAAGATCTTGGAACCGATCTAAAACCTTGCTAATGGTGATATCCCCAATGTCCGGTACGTTCTCTTCACTTACGGTCAAATGGAGAAGTTCTAGTAGCACTCCCTCATCTTCGGAGTTACATTGTCTTGACCAAAGCCTTGAAAGACACTAAAGCATGGTTCGGACTTGGATCCCCTCTCAACTCGATTCGCTACCCATTCATAGTCGAGTTATAGAAGGCTTCCTTCAATTTGCTACCGTAACCCCCAATGTGGCTAGCCACTTCAAGCCCGATATCAAGTCGGTACTACTCATTGAGAAGGGCGAGATAATCCTCTACTACTCGTTAAAGTCCCCAATTGCAGCACTACTCTCTTACAAATTCCCTCCCTTTTCAATCGGCTTCCATTCCCAATTACCATACCATAATTAGGAGTTATTGAAATGGGTAGCCCCAACTTCTCCACCAACACCTGCGAAATAAAATTATGGGTCGTACCGGGTCAATCGACACCACTACTTTTGTTCCTTCCACAACCCCTTCATCTTCAAGGTCCGTGGGGATGACGACTCAACAACGAGTTAAGAGACGACTCAACTCCTTCTAATGCCGATACCTCCTCTTCCCTTGCCTCGATGACTAGCCCTTCTTCATCAAATTCATCTCTAACGAGTATAACATATAGCTCTCGGTTTTTACAACGATGACCAACATACCATTTTTCATCACAGCGATAGCATAACCCCTTATCCCTCCTAGCTTGCGCCTCGGCATCCGGAATCCTCTTGAACTGTAAGTTTATGGAAAAGGTTGAGGTGTTTGCTTTGGTGTTTAACCCCGTAAAAGTTTGGTTGGGTTGTATCTTCGGAATGAATGGGTTTGGGTAGTATTCGAGTATAAGGTTTTGGTGTTGTTGGGTTATAAGAACGGTTTGGAGTCTATGAGATTGTTTTATGGTTTGATTTGGTGGTTATTGGGTCGAGTTCTGTTTGGGCCTTTTTGGGATTGGTTTGAGGGTATAGGACTAGGTTCTTATTCTCGATTCTTGCTTGCCACCGCCATTGTCTCCTTCGACCCGACGAGATTAAGCATGAACGGCTCCGCCTTAATCTTCTCCTCCGGGTCGTTAACGAAGACTACCGTCATTGTGGCTTCCTTGATCTTCCCTGCTGCAGTACGCTAACATTTCAAACTAAGCACGGTACTCATTCTCGTTCCCGTTTGTTTCATCGTAAAGAAACGATGTAACATTGACCCTCCCTCGGGGCCCGAGAACCTTACCGGCATCTAATTTTTCGGTTCTTCCCAAGAAACAAAGGGCTTCTCCCTTTCCTCAAACCGTAACCAAGCTTGAGCCTCTCCTTCAAAACACACCCCCGCTGCCTCTAGCTTCTCGGCCTCACTCAACTTGTTCATAGAAAAGTAACGCTCGGCTTTGACGATCCATGAATTCGGATCTTCCCCACCAAAAGTGGGCAAATCCGAGTTTTGGGGTTGTCGTTCTCTCTCCACCATTTTCTCTAATATGACCTCGGTTTCGGATTTAATGGATTCCGACGTCTCAACTGCAGACTTGGTAAAGCTTGGTTCTCTCGGGGTACTTGCTTCAGCGACTAACCTCCTTCCCCTTAAGTCTCATAGTGTCATCCGGTTTCGGAATAAGGCGGCGATTGACCCATTTAGCTCGTGCTCATATCATCAATTTGTTTCTCCAAACCCGGAAGCTTAAGGATTTACGCTTCGATTTTTTCCATTCGTTGCTCCATTCGGTTTTGGTCATAAGCAATCTCGAGGATCAAGAATGCTCTAATACCAAATGATAAAACCTGGAAATTTCGAACATAATAACAAAGAAAAGTAATGGAACGAGTGAAAATGAGGGATGGTGAGAGGACTTTTTATTAAAGATGACGGATAACAAAATCAGCGGTATTCGAGTGACTGCCACACTCCCCGACCCAATGGCCTCCCATAACTCGGAATGTTCTCCAATCAATCCCCTCATCCTTTCACTAATCCCTATATAAAAACAAGAAAAATAAGAAAATGCCAAAGGCATAACGGACGCATGACGGATGTGAGAGAAACAGAATTGTAACAAAATTGACCACGTCGGCATATTCTAGAACTCGACGAATTAACCAACCAACGAGCACAATATTCTCCTTTCTCATACTTCAAAGCCCAACGAGAGAATTTCGTAGCCCGGTGCTTTAATTTGTTATTTCCCTGTCTGCTTTCTTCTTCCTTCTGCTATAGACCCACCGATCCGGGCCTTATCGGAGGACTCGAAAGTTGGTTGAGAAAAAAGGACAATTAGAAAGGGTTTGGTGCTATTTTGGAGATCGGTCTCCATATGGGAGATTGTTAAGTTGTGGAGACCGATGTAGATGAGGGTCCGCAATATAAGGCACTATATAGATCTAGTATGATGGTCTCACTATCCGATTAAGGAATGGGTCGAGGGGCGATGCCCCTTGCGGAAGCTCAAGGCGAGCCACCGAAATGTCTACGGAATATTAGGTTGGATGTATAGGCTTGCTAGGCCTTTTTTCTTAAAATCTTAGTTGTTTACACTATAAATAGAGACAACAATACTTGTATTGTAGCCGTCATTTGAAAAAACCTAAAAAGAAATTCTAGTGAAGCGAGTGGAGTAGGTATCATTGTCAAACCATGTAAAATTCTTGTGTTGTATGATTGTTCTTGTCTCTCCATGTTATTCTTTTGCTTGAATTGTTTCCTAACAAATGACCCCATACACGTAGCCTCATCAAGTCCGGGATAATTGGGTTTGGTAACTATAGTCGCCTTGCATCTTTTATCTTCTTCTTGTTGTTGTTTTTTTTTCCTCTTTATTAGTTCATTACAATGGAAGGTCGTTAATCGAAACTAGGATCAAGTCTTGAATGGTAAAAGATGGGGTCGAAAACCAAAGGAACGGACTATAAATGACTTGCACTTGCATGGGAGATAACATAACAACCACGATCACGTCAAGATTAGCCATAAACCATAATCAAGTCTAAGATTAGCCATCGAATCCGAACAATGGTTATCTCGAGCGAAACATGACGAAAGCTCTCGGGTCCACTTCAATTTCTACCATGTGAAAAACCAAAATCCGAGCTAAATCCAAACCATACTAAGCCGCCCACATTTTAACACATTTTAACTTGCATGGAAGAAATAGTAACAAAATCATGAACTCATCAACCTCAACCATCTCCAACCAAACCACCACTAGCGGCCTTTTATAGGTGACCCCTACTAGAACCATCTGTTTTAAGCCATAGTTTAACATCCTTAGACTTGGTTTGAAACATAACCTAGACAAGGATTCCGGGGTTTAACTACGTACGGGTATGTGGTTGAATCCAAAGGTCCTAGATAACCTAAAATAATTATTATAAGCATTCAAAGTTAATTAAATCTTTTTTTTTCTTAAAGCCGGGATCGATCACGGTGCTTGGATCAACTCGATCTCCTAGCAAGTTTTTAATCCAAAATTGATGAGTTCAATATTTTAAACGGTTAAATCACAAACTCAACCTGATTTAGGTCTCCACTAAGTCAACGTTTAATAATTATGATAACAATTCTTTTTCTTTTGTATATATATTTGATAATATGTGCTATTAAAATGCTTTATGTTATATATATAACATAAAGCATTTTAATAGCACATATTATCAAATATGTTTTACAATTATGACGATCAACTACAGCTTATTGTCTCACTTAAAAACCACGAGTTGTTCTAGACGTACCCTTGGCTTTTAGTTATTACTTCGGATTTTAGTACCCTTGATTTTGCGTTTCAAATATCCCATTTACTCTTTTTATACTAATGTCCATCTTGTATATTTGACTTTTTTCTTTGCTACATATTTTTATTAGAATTGATGAATAACATTATTAAAGATAATCACTAAGTCTATAAGATCGACATGTACGATTCAATAAAAAAAAATTCAATTGAAGATACAACAAAAGTAAAAAAAATAGTGAAAATGAAGGGAAAAAATGATAACTAAATTTTTTTTTCTTTTGAAAATTATTACGAGTTGAATTGAAAATACAATAAAAAAAACGGAAAAAGTAAGAAAAAAAATTTTTTTAGTCATTTTTGCTCCTCCAGGAACTTATATGCTATGATTTTTTTTTCTTTTTGGCCACCATTTTTTATATTCACTTTCTAATTTTCAAATCATACTATATTTCAAAAAGAAATGATCATAATATATAAGTTCGTAAAAGAAAGAAAAAAGTGTGAATGGAGAATATCATTTTTTTTTCCTTTTTTTTTGTATGTTCAATTCAAATAGTATTATATTCCAAAAAAATACAATTTTTTTTGTTGCCATCTTTTTTATTATTATTCATTTTCTTTTATTTTCAAATTTTCATATAACTTTTTATTGAATATTTTATTTGATCGAACACGTGTTACAATTACGTATCTCTTAAGAAAAAAATTTAATGATAGTTTTTAACATTTTTCACTACAAGAAAAGTTGAAATTGGCGATGAGATTTTAGCGATGGTTTTTAAGCCATCACAAATAAACAAAACACAATGACGGTTTACAAAAAACCGTTGCAATGAACCCATTGAAAATGGGTTTTAGCAACCATTGCTATTTCGGTCCAATTTGACCATTATTTGCTATAGTTTTTCGAAAACCATCGCAAATCGACAATTTTTTTTCAGAAAAGAAACTATCAAATTTTTTGATGGTTTAATTAAACCATCGCTACTTTTCCTCATTTACAAGTAAATTTAGCAACGGTTTAAGAAACTATCGCTAGATTTAATTTTTTTATTAGCTTGGAATCAATTAGCAATGGTTTTGAAAAACCGTTGCCAATTTTTAACGAGTTAGAAGGAAACAACTAGTTTCAAATTTTTCAAAATAATGAAACCGTTACTAAAAGTTTTAATCCCTAAAACCCCACTTACTCAAATATTTTTCCTATATTTTTTCCCTCTCTTCTTCTTCTTCCAACCACGATTTTCTCCCCATCGAAGCTCTATATCTACTCTAAATCTCCTCCTTTCTCTTATTTTCCTCTTCCGCTCCATCTCTCCCTTTTTCTTCCTCCTTTTTCTTCGTCTTTCTCCCCCTTCCCTCCTCCTCCCTTCACCCTTCTTCATTGTGAATAGTGCCACGACAACACCACCACCTAGGAACAACAACTCATCCTCCTTCTTGGCAACAACTCCTCCATCATCTAGTCGTCAAATTTTGTTATTGGTAACCCATTAAGTCATTTTTTTCATTTATTGCAATTATTAAATTTTGTGTTAATTGTTGTTAATTATTATTAATTCTTTTTGTTGTTTATTATTTATTATTTAATTGTTAGTGTAATTGTTGTTAATTATTTATTTTTTAATTTTTAGTTAGTTTAATTGCTGGTATTTAGAAAATGTAATTGTAACTCCCAAAAAAAATAAGGATAATATTTTAATATTTTTTGTGGTTTTAATATTTGGTGTTTATATTATAATTTTCCACCTAAGCTTCTAATTTCTTCTACTACTTTACACCTCATAAGCTTAGATTAGGACATTTTTTAAATTCATTAATGAGGGAAGACAAAAAAAAGAATAAGAGAAAAGCCAAGATGAATGGCCGACCACTTTTAGTAAGGGAAAAAAATTTCAGCTCACCAAAAGAAAATAAGGTCTGAACAAGAAGAAGAAAAAAGGAAGAAGAAAAAATAAAGAAGGAAGGAAGGAAAGGAGAAGAAAAATCAAGATGTTTTCTAGGACACTTAAACCAAGTAAGTAGGAGTTTATTTTACACCACAAATTTGAATTCTATATGTTTAATTTATGTGAATTACTTGAGTTGATGATTATGCTTCCGTTAGTTGTTTATATTGATGTTGTGAGTTTTGATGGCTTGATATGAATTTATTCGTTTATATTGAATATTGGATGATTTATTCACATGCTTACTCATTAATTTTGATAAAGCTTTGTTTTATACCTAAATATTGGTTGTTGGGCTTGGTTGGTGAATTGATGTGCTTGGATGGAATTTATTTGGAATGAATAATTGTTGATGTGGTTATGGGAGGAATAAATTTGAAATCGTAGATGGTGGATTGGTATAGTAATAATTAATGGGATTACTT